ATAATTAAAATATGTTTTTGGTGGGCACTATGGGAATTTTAGGGTAGGTAGTGTAATAGACTTTGACATTTCTCACACGTACGTATGAGCACGTTAAATTTTCAGCTTTGATATCTCGACTGCTGTATTAAAATTTTAAAAGTGAGTGCGAGGTATAGATCACACCCGAAATCGAAATTGACGTAAAATAACAAGTTCCACTAAACCTAGTCGTTTTCTCTTGTTTTGAACAGTAGTTTTGACTGTGGTGGCAATAATGTGGCAACTGATGTCAACAGTTTAGTGCATGTGATGTGGCAACACATCGAATGACAGAGGTGAGTGATGTTGCAAGCATGCAGTGGTATGATGGTGTGTGGAGCATGCTGTGTCGCAACCATATTAAGAAAAGAGGAGGTTGTAACTCGTACGTGCAAACAAAACTAAAGCGGCAACACAGAAGTGGTTCAATCGACCACATGAAGGCCGAGACAAGACAAATGTCATGATGCGACTAGAGATGTCCATGGGGACGGGGAGGTCTTCCCCATCTCAATCCTGCCACCTATTTCATTCATATCCCTGCAAAATTTTCCATTTATTTTTGCGGGGATCGAGTTCCCCGCAGGTAATCTTTATTAAAATATGGAGAACAAGTGTTCCCCAATCCCTCCCCCATTCCTAGTCTAAACAGGAAATCCCCTTTCGGGTAAAATGGACATCTCTAGATACGATTGAGGAGAGTGGTGCATCATCTAACACAAAAAAGATGCACATTGAAGTCGAGATGAGGTATTAGCAAGATAGAGACAATAAATAGACAATAAGGTCAAAAGATAGAGGCAACAACCTTTACGGTACGAGTTGAGTAGTCCAAGTTAGTTGAATTATCGAGTCATATGAACACTCCTAATGCTGACCTCTAAGACGCAAATCAAAAGGCTATCTAAACATGGTTAAAAACGCTTATGAACATGTATTCGATCAATAAATCAAATATTCAAATTATTCGACCCAACCTGTAGTTCAACAAAAATTTTAACTCACGAATTTTAATATAATATAATGGATGAATCTATAATTTATCGAATATTATTATAATATATACTTTTATTAAACCGTGAGAGGTCAGGAAACTTTCACTTTAAGCAAACAAACTAAAATATTAAATATAGACATGCGCATGTTATGCAAATATAAAACCATTAAGGACCCACAAAATAAATTTTAAAATATGGTAGTGATTATGTAAGCAAAATGCATATTTTTTCCTTTTTCTTTTCCTTATTAACATTGTTTATGACGTGGGCCATATAAAATAGAGCATATTTATATGGTGTAATATTGTATTTTACATTAAGATTTTAATTTAAATAACAATATAATACCTAAAGCATTTTAAAAATAAAGTTATAGGATGAAAAAAAAAATTGTTATTTTTTTAATTAAAATTTGGGATAAAAGTAAAAATATTGATGTTGCAATTTTTATCTTTGTTTAAATTTTTCTAATTAGTCCTCTAATTTTAACAAAAATAATTTTACTCTAAACTTTTTGTTCGAGATTTATAATTAAACTTTTGTAATTAGTTATTTAATTTTTTAATAATAATTTTGATGATTTTAATTATAATTTAACATCATCCAAGATTATTAATATAGTTCTGAAAAAAAAAGTGGTTGACGAGTAAATGAATAAAAATTGATAAATTAAAAAATTTAATTAATTAATTTATATCATTAAAGTATATAATTGTAAATTTATAAGGTGCTTAAATAAACGATTTAGTTGGAAAAAAAATTTGATGCATTAAAATTAAAATTTAATATATATTAAATATAAAAAGAGAAAAATATATTTAATTTATTAATTTGATATATTAAATATTAAAAAATTAATATATATTAGATACATTTAAAATAAATTTTAAATTAATACATGGGATAGATTTAAATAAAATATTATCTCTAAATATTCAAATATATTATTCTATGTTCGCATTTAATTTTTTTCGGACATGTTTCAACTAAATTTATAGTTATTAATAATACATTAAAACTAATTGAGAAAAAACTCTAATATATTAAATTATTCTATTATTATAAATTAATATAAATAAATATGGTTGTATTGACTCTATATTAATTTAAGTAAATACAACCATGTTTATTTATACGGTAAAATATATTAATGTAATAAATTATTTATTTAGACTATTAATTAATATTTTGTAAAATATATTAATTGATTAATTAATTAATAATACAATAAGTTAAAGTTGGTCCAATTACTAGTCTAATAAAATTATAGAAGTGTGTTAAAATTTTTAATTAAAAATATTAGGTAATAATTTAAAATTAATTACTTTATACCAATTTCTTTATGTATAAATAATACTATTTTAAAAAAGTTCGTAATTGACAACAATGAATTAATAATTTACCTTTTACGAATATAAAAAAAATAAAGAAACATAATTAATTTAATTAATAATTTACCTTTTACAAAAAAAAAATAATAAAGAAAGATAATTAATTATTTTAAAATGGCTTCTGTGTTTAGAGGTGATGATCGGTTTGTAAACATTTTCTCGCTTTTTTTTTTTTTCGTTTCATTTATTTAAAAATTACATTATTAAATCGTGACAGATTTTTAATTAATCGTATATTTAAAAAAAAATTATATTAAACATTATTCTAATAATTTTACTTAATAAAACTAACTCACTATCAAAAAAAATTAATGTAAAGTTTGTTGGAATATTTTTTAATTATGTGAAATTACATTTATTCTCGAATAAGTTAGCCATTTTCCATGTATCAAGTTAACTCTTTCTCATGTATTTAAATTTATATGTATTACAACCAAATTTCGAATTTTCAGATTTTAGACCGTGACTAAAAGTAAATAAAATAAAATATAAAAAATGACGTGAAATTGAAATGGAATTAAAAGTTAAGAACAGGACAATTAAATATAAAATAAATATAAATGGTGTTAAAAAAAAGTTTGAGATAGGATGCATGATTTTTTTGATCAAACGGTTGGTTAGATTGGTAACCCAATTAAAAAAAAAATTAAAAAGTTTTATTTAACCATTTTTTATTCGGATCCAATTTTAGATAAAAGATAATTAAAAGTTCACCAACAAACACAATCGTAATTATTAAAAAAAAAAAAACTAACAAAATAAAAATAGATCTTTAAATTAAAACAGCTATAGATTCTTAAATTATTAGTTTCAATTTTATAACAAAATGTTTAAATCAATTGAAACTAATTTTGTATGAATCTAATTTTGTGTCCACGATTTTAGATGTTAAATTTTTTTAAAATAATATAAAATTCTCACTAAAACGGTCACAACTTTTTAAAAATATGTGTCATCGCAAACTTTTTAGTATATTTTATATATTTTTATTTGAATCGGGTCAACCAAAGATTTTGTCGTTTGGGTTTAGAAAAATGAACTCAAATGAACTAGAAAAACTAATCCAACCCAACAAGTTTGAATTGGGTTAGTCTAGGTTGTCGGGTTGAATGTATCCCTTAATTTGAGTTTTAGGAAAATATTAATTATTTTTTTTTGAAAAAAATAATTATAAACAAGGGAAAAAAACAAAACATAAATAAGTTACCAGAGTATTAAAAGAAAGAAAAAAAAAAAAAAAAAAAAA